TATGTAATAAGTGTCCTAAAAAATTTCACACAGACAGCTCATACTTATGATGAATTTTGAACTTTTCTGCAGTTGCTCTAATTTTATTTCTCCACAAGCCCAACAATAATATTCTATTTTTCAGGTACTATTTTTCAAAAATAATAATAATAAATATTTTTTAATGAATTAAATTTAACTCAATTATTAATTTTGGCAAAATCAACAAATCAACATCTCTTTAACACTTATTTACAACAAATATCTTTAATTTCTAATTTACTTTTCAAAAATACCTCAAATTATCTTTTTATTTTTACCATTTTTTCAATAAAATATTCATTGTTGTTAATCTCCGTGTCGGACCAAAATATTATAATTTTTACGGACAGAGGAAGTACGATATTTTATACAAAAATCAACATAGTTATTATAAAAAATCAAATATTCAAATTAAAATAATTAGAATTTTATATTTTTGACACAATTTTTCATATAACAGAAAAAATCATTTCATCCTAAAGCTTTACTTTTTCTTTTTTTGATGAGTTATCTATGTTATAAATGCATCACACTCATTTTACTTGGGTCTTCATCTACGAATGGCTATAGCTTGAGCAACGTCCCAAGACGGCTTCTCAGGTACTCTATTTGTTTAATTTGTCAAGTTCAATGATAAACATAAGAAATCAGAAGAGCACTGCAAACCCAAGCTCCCCTACGCCTACCATCATCAAATAAATATCAACCAAAGCAAAATAACGAAACAATTAAACTTAGCATTGTAGAGGTCCTACATCCACAAGATGGAATAGAACCTCCCCAAAAATTGAAGTATGCTACTTAATGCAACAAACACACGGTATTCTTTAGTAAAAGGCGAAAGAATAATTCGCTTTGTGCTTATTGCGTAGCTCCATAAATATCAAACTGTACTCTCCTTAATTATATATACAAGAGATACAATACTCTCTTCACTGCAAGTTCGATGTGGGATAAAGGATAACAATTACCAAACACACCACTTTCCCTGCCACTTCGATGTGGGATAAAAATACAACCACAATTAGAAAATGCCCGTGTCTCAATGCTCAATACCTTTTTGATTCTTTTTACCCTCCCATCAAAACTACATTAGCAAAAGTATATAATTAACGAGACTAATATAGCCATTACCAAGAGTTGAATACTATAATTGGTAGGGGGCCGCGCGGACGCAGGCCCCCACTGCCACAAATTACGACGTAGGCTCGACCGCTTTGGGCCGACCTTAGGCGGATGCCCCTCCCAAGTGCAATGGAGGTCACCAACCCAGGCCATGGACCTTCTTGATCGCCCATTGACCCCGTCCAGGTAAGTATGTTGCCCTGTACCCCTCCGCCTGATTATATACATGTTTTCCTGCTCCTATTTTCTAACTCTTCCGATGTGGGATAGTACAGTACATAATAAACGCATTTATGCTTTATCCCTTCGGTTTCGGGTAGGCGGTTCGAACCGTCGGCCGCTGGTTTCAAATAGCCGGTTCAAACTTTAATCCGCCGGTTTGAAGTGGTTTACGGTTAGAAGATAGCGAGATGGGACCGGCAGCACGGCTGAGCAGCAAGGCGGAGAAGAAGAGAAGAAAAAGAGGAAGAATGACAAGAAAACAAGGATGTGGATAGATGAAGCTGGTGTGCTGCGGCTGTCAAATGTCAATGGACTAATTAGGGCAAAATTATAGAAATATATTTATATTAATAAAAAAATAATAATAATATTCTTTTTGTTTATTTTGAAAATATAAACGGTTCAAATAGTGTAAGAGATAATATTACCTATATTTTTAATATAAAAATAATAATGCAATACTAAAATAGGATATTTGTAAAAAAAAAAAAAAAAAAAAAACGGAAACACATAATTCATTTGTTCCGAGACAGTTATTTAAATAATATAAATTATTAAATTATTTCTGATATTTTAAAAATATAAATTAATGTTAATTAAAATAAATTTAGAATATGTATTTAAATATTATATTTCAATATAAAAATATATAATATGAATATTATTTTATAGATATAAAACTTTTGTATACTATAAATAAAAAAAAAAAATTTATTTATTTATAATTTATATAAACTAGTTTTATAAAAAAACAAGAAATTTTAAAAATAGATCAAAGTATTGATGTATTTATCGAGGAGATTAATAAAATTAAAAGATTTTAACTGCTCTACAATTTTAATTAAATTAATTTATATTTATCAAATAAATTTAAAATTAAAAAAGAATATTACTTAAAAATAAAAATGAATCATATGTTATTGATACCGATTGAAAGGAAAAAAAATCATATCTCAAAACAAAAAAAGTACTAGTAATATTTTTATATAATTATAATTTTAACTCTATACTCTCTTCATCTCTTAAATTTATTTTCATTTTTTTAAAAGTTCATTAGCTACGTTTATATCATTACTAATACCATCAAATCAACATTTAGTTATTATTGCCAATTTAATATTTATTTACAAAAAGTACCATTAATTTTGTTAAATTTTTATTTTTTATTTACTTTAATTACTAACTAAATTTCCAAAATGTCCATAATTATCTGTCACTTATCTAATAAAATATTTATTTTTCTTAATATTTATGTCGGTACCAAATGAACAAATTTTAATGGATGAAGAAAATATTTTATATTATAGATAATTATATTTAATTTAAGTTATACTAACTATATATAATATATATGAGGATGGTATGGTTCTCAATATATATATTTATTTGTTTTTGAAATTTTTTAATAAAAATATTTTTTTATTTCTAATTATTTTGGATAAATTTTATTAATTACTATAACATTTTATGTTTAGATAAAATCAAATAAGATTATTTTAAAAATTCATGAAAATATGTATTTATATTTGTAGTATATTTAACTAATTTTTATGCATATTTTATACCATTGTCATATAATAAATTTTGTATTAACAAATTATTAAAATAATATTAATATTTTATTTGTATGTTATTACTATAAATTTTATATATTTAAAAAACATTATATGCTTATAAATAATTTAATATTATTCTGTCTCACAAATATTTTCTATATTACTAAAATATCAGAATTTAATTAGAATATAATTAATAAATATAATTATGAATTAAGATTAGAATAATTAAATAATTTGATTTAAAGTAAGACAATTATCAAATTAAAAATGTGACTAAAGTATATAATTATATTTTTAAAAAATAAATGATAAATTACGTAGAACGAATGAAAATATAACAAAAAATGAACACTTTATATGAGAGAAATTGAGTACTAATTTTTTTTTTTTTGATAAACATGATTAAAGAATAATTTAAATATAAAATATATAAAAATGTTTAATTTATATTATTAACTTATTTGTACTCCCAATAGTTTTATTTAATGAGAAAAAAAAAAAAAAAAAAAGAACATTTCAAACGATATAAAAATCGTACTTCTCAATATATGGTTAATGAAAAATTAATTAACATTGCTTTTACTAATATACATATAAAGCTAATATTGAGATATTTAACAATTACTCCATTCGTCTCAAACACCATGCAACATTTTCTTTTTTGTTTGTCCCAAATTCACTATAATATTTCCAAATTTATAAATAATTAATACTCCCTTCGTCCACAAACTAATGTCCTACTTTTTTATTTGGGACGTCCAACAACTATTGTCCTATTTCTTTTTTTTTTTAAACACAAATTTTACATTTTTACCCTTCATTCATTTATTACTTTTCATCTCTACCATACAATTAAGGGCAAATTTGTCAATTTATAACAAAAAAAAGACAATCACCTAAAAAACCGTGCAAATATACTTTAGGACAATAGAAATTGGACGAAATGAGTAATATTTTTATACATATATTAATATACACTTCACTTTATCACTCAAATAAAAAAAACAAATAATCATTTCTCTTTCCAATTGCATCACTTAATATCCAAATTATCTCAAATTACCATACTTAATACTCCCCACCTAAATTCTCGTGTTAAACACAAATGTTGCACGATGTTTGACACGAAGAAAGTATTAGTTATTGAATATATACATTTATTATTCTTTTCATGTATTTATGAACAAGTTTGGATTCGACAATATGTATTTTCCAATACATGCTTATTTGAGTATGGACGTACGTTTAATAAAAATATGATATTTTATCCGTTTATATATGTTGAAAATTTTTGGTATTCGTACAAAAATTTAGATTGATAGTTTTAAGTATAATAAAAGAAAAATTAAGTGTTATAATGAAAGATAAAAATATTATTTTTTATTTTGAATTATGTGATGAGATAAAATAATTGTTAGTTATTTTTTATTTTAGAAATATTATATCTAATGTGGGACACATCAAAAGTAAAAATATTGCAGGATAGGTTGAGCTAAGAAAATACTATATTAGTTGATGATAACATAAAATATAAATATTTTAACAAATATATAAATGAATTAATGAAATGAAAATTCTTTTTTATGAATTAAACGTGTAAATAGCTGTAGTGTTTTTGTAAATGAGTGTCAGACAAAAATTTCACAGCCATTATAAAAGCTTCTTTAAAAAATATGGACAGGTCATATTTATATGAATTTGGAAGCTTTTTTGTGTTTGCTCTAATTTTATTTCTCCACACTACAATAAGCTCTACGAGAACAACGTTGTGTTTTTTAGCATTATTTTTCAGTTGTAATTTTTAAAAAATAATAATAAAATATATAATATATCAAAAATCAAAACACTTATTATAAAAAAATTAAATATTGAATCTAAAATAATATCTTAAGACACAATTTTTCATATCATACTCAAAAAATCATTTCTTCTAGAAAGGTTGTGTGAATGAAGTGTTTCCCCCTAAGGCTTTTACTTTTTCTCGCCTACGCCTACCATATCATCAAATAAATATCAACCAAAAGCTAAATAAAGAAACAATTAAACTTTGCATTGTAGAGGTCCCTCTTCCGCAAAATGGAAAAGAAGAACCTCCCCAAAAATTGGAGTATGCTACTTAATACAACAAGCACACGGTATTCTTTAGTAAAAGGCGAAAGAATAATTCGGTTTGTGCCTACTGCGCAGCTCCATGATTCTTAATTTCACTCTCCTCAACAATATATACAAGAGATACAATACTCTCTTCACTGCTACTCCGATGTGGGATAAAACAATTACCAAACACACTATTTTCACTGCCACGATGTGGGATAAAAAGACAACAACAATTACTAAACGCCCGAGTCTCAATGCTCAATGCCTTTTTGATTCTTTTTACCCACATCAGCGAAAGTACAAACACCTTTTTGATTCTTTTTACCCACGCTACTCAGAAGTTGAATACTATAATTGGTAGGGGGCCGCGCGGACGCAGGCCCCCACTGCCACAAATTACGACGTAGGCTCGACCGCTTTGGGCCGACCTTAGGCGGATGCCCCTCCCAAGTGCAATGGAGGTCACCAACCCAGGCCATGGACCTTCTTGATCGCCCATTGACCCCGTCCAGGTAAGTATGTTGCCCCGTACCCCTCCGCCTGATTATATACATGTTTTCCTGCTCCTATTTTCTAACTCTTCCGATGTGGGATAGTACAGTACATAATAAACTCATTTATGATTTATCCCTTCGGTTTCGGGTAGGCGGTTCTAACCGTCGGCCGCTGGTTTCAAATAGCCGGTGCAAACCTTAATCCGCCGGTTTGAAGTGGTTTACGGTTTAGAAGATGGCGAGATGAGACCGGCACGGCGGCGGAGCAGCAAGGCGGAGAAGAAGGAGAAGGGAAAAAAAAAAGAAGAAAGAGGATGGATGAAGGCGGCGGCCGCGGCTGTCAATTGTAAATGGTAAATGGTTTAATTAGGGCAAAATTATAAAAATAATAATAATTAATTTTTTTTATTAATTTAATGCATATTTAATGCAATTACTTATTTAATTCAGCTTGTCAATTTTTTTATCTCGTCACAATCTAATGATAATAATTTTTTATAAAAAATATATATATCTAAATAAATTTGAAACCAAAATAGGGGAATCTAAAACCATAACTTAAAGATTTCCACTTTAATTTTACTTTTTTAACAAATTAAAATCAATAATTTTAAACCGTAATCAACACATCGAACCGGAGAAATTCAACTCGTCATTTTACTTAGATAAACTAAACTTTCCAAGGCTTAAAAGGCGTTTCTATTAATTTATTTAGCAGAATATATGTTTCTAAATAACAATGTTTAACCTTGTTATTTTTATTCAATTTATAATTTTATTTTGAAATATAATATTTAATAGTGAATTTATTAAACAATTTAAATTATAAATATATACTTAGTCCCGAGATGCACTACTATTCATTATATCTCTTTCAATCAGGCAAAAAAGTCACACTGAAATCATGTACGACAGGTGGACTTCACAGTCACGAATTTAGTCCTACACCATGCCATCATTTACGAGACTCTTGTGAATTTATTCTCGAATCATTTTGGATTTATAGAACAAATCTCGTATATAAAAATACGAAATCAATTAGTAATAGCGGAAGCAAATTAAATTGAATAAACCCAAATTATTATAACAGAAATTGAAACTAAAATTAAAGCTATAAATCCGATTTGCTGGAATTAGAAATCAAAACACCAAGAAACAGCCTAGATAATTGAAATGAAGCACAGAGAACTCAATTAAAATACTCCCTGTCTTGTTCTAAAATCTAGTCGCAAGCAGTCTACTCCATCCACGATCAACGACAACGACAACGACGACGACCTTATTCCTTCTTTCTCCGGTCATCTTCTCCGACCAGTAGCAGTGGAGACTGGAACTCCGCCGACGGTCCAGCGGCGAACTCCTTCAGGAGAGATCTCGACACCCAGCTCCGGCAGCCTGCTCCGGCACACGGCAGCATGCCTCCATCAAACAGCCCAGACTCCGGCGATAGCTTGCGTTGCCTCCGGCAATTGTAACTTCTCCGATCTTTCACCGGCGGGAAGGGACGGCGGATATCGGCTCAGTCCATGGTGCGAAGTGGCCCGAGGTAATCAAGCCTCAAGGTTGGAGGTCGGCTCGTCACTCCAAGCCTCGACACCCACCGGAATCGGCACAAGAAAAGGTCTCGAACCTCACCGGAAACTCACCAGAATTGTTAGACAAACTAATTTCTCTCAGTCTCTCAATACCCCAAACTTAATTTTTATTTAAACCCTCCTGACAAACTAACCAATTAACAAACTCAACGAATTAATTGTGCTAAATGGTTTTGGCTTTGTTACGCACGAAATTTAGAATTAGGTTAAAAGCCCAAGGTAAAAAGAAGAATGGGCCTGGCAATAGGGTTGATTGAACTGGCTGAAGGACACCGTGAGGAAATCAAGGAAAATAAATTTATTTATTTATTTCTAAGGAAAATACAGGTCGGAAGGTTTTCAAGTCGGTAGGTCCTCAGGACGGAAAGACCTCAGGACGGAAGGTTCTTAGGTCGGTAGGTCCTCAGGACGGAAAGACCTCAGGACGGAAGGTTCTTAGGTCGGTAGGTCCTCAGGACGGAAAGACCTCAGGTCGGAAGGTCTTCAGGTCGGGAGGCCCTCAAGATGGAAAGACCTCAAGTCGGAAGGTCTTCAGGTCGGAAGGTCCGCAAGACGGAAAGACCTCAAGTCGGAAGGTCTTCAGGTCGGGAGGTCCGCAAGACGGAAAGACCTCAAGTCGGAAGGTCTTCAGGTCGGGAGGTCCGCAAGATGGAAAGACCTCAAGTCGAAAGGTCTTCAGGTCGGGAGGTCCGCAAGACGGAAAGACCTCAAGTCGGAAGGTCTTCAGGTCGGGAGGTCCGCAAGACGGAAAGACGATGAGTCGGAAGGTTTTCAAGTCGGGAGGTCCTCGAGACGGAAAGTCGTCGAGATGGGATATCCGCAGGTCGGGTAAACTGTAGGTCGGATAGAAGGAGGAGTCGGACAAACGCGGAGGCCTTTGATCAAAGACAGGGGGCGGTTGATATGGAGGTCGGCCCAAGTGGGGTCGGGCGAAGAAGTAGGTCGGACGAAGGACGAAGTCGGGCCAAAAGAGCGGAAGGTCTGTGGTCGGCTCAATGAGTGAAATATAGGGAATTTTGGTCTGCTGGGGACACGTGTCAGCATGAGAAAGGTTGGAAGACGGTTGAGAAGGAGACGTTGTAACCGTTCGGGTGACGGTTTTCAGTACGGTTTCCCAGGGAATATTTAAGGATTTGGATCATCATTTGGCAAGGCATCTTCAATCAACTTCAACAAAGCAAAGTCAGATTTGGGGATCACCACTTTAAATTTCAGTCTTTTATTTTCCAGTTTACTTTCTGTACGTCACAGTGTTTAGAGATTCCTAATCTCAGGCACTAATTAATCAAGTTTAAGGATATTTTTAATATCTTTGAATTTTACTTTATTTTTGTTGAAAAATTACATCAACAAATTGGCGACCACAGTGGGAGCAAGACAAAATTGCTCATTCCAATTCCGGCGATAATTTTATACGTCTTAGATCCGGCCGAATCATCGGAAGGGTTATGGCAGGTTCACAACCGCAATCATCTTCGACACCAGTGGGAGAATCCGTTCCACCACCCATTGTGCCAAATGCCGGGGAAATCCCACAACCACCAACTGATTGGTGGTCTTATGTTCAACAAATGAACAACCAGCATACCTTGGTTATGCAGAATATGTTGCGTGAGCAACAAACGAACATGTTGCGTGAGCAACAGAGTCAGTTGCAGAACATGATAGATCAAGCACTGTCAAGGGTTAGTCTTCAACCCACTCAAACGCCACCAGGAGCATCACCGTCCAGACCACAGGCAAATTTCGCAGGGCCATCATTCGTGGATAGTACATTCCCAAGTGCCACAAATCCCAACCGAATGGATAGGGGAAAATCTCCTTTGACTTTTCCCAACAATGTTCCACTGGGACCAAGGGTTACCAATCCGCAGCCGAGCAATACAAGGGAGGACAGGCCTGAAGGATATATACATGATCCTATTCATATTCCGGTGCAGGATCCGTTCCAAGTTCCTGATCATCAACGCTTTCATGTAGATCCTGACGAGATTGCACATATATTAAGGGATCAGTATGGATTAACTCCTCAGATGGCTAACCGCCCTGCATATCAGAGACCTTTCCCAGAAAGGATCATTAATGAACACCCTCTCCCAAGGAATTTTCGACCACCCGACTTTCATGCATTCTCAGGGGAGGACGGATCTTCCACCATAGAACATGTTGGTCGGTTCACAGCACAATTAGGAGAAGTTGGCAATAACCCTTTTTATAAGTTACAACTGTTTGGTTTATCTCTTACTAGAACGGCGTTTTCGTGGTTTGTAAGTTTGCCTCCAGGACAAATTCAGACATGGGAAGGACTGGAGATGGCATTCCACGCTAGATTCTTTAATCCTTTACCAGTTGTTTCTTTAACTGATTTACTTGAATTGAGACAGTATCCAGAAGAAACTGCTTCACAGTTTATAGAAAGGGTGCGATTGATGAAGGGACGATGTCCTACGGTAATCAGTGAGAAAGAGATGACCAATTTAGTGGTCCGGAATATGCATAATCGTTTAAGAAAGGCACTCACTGCCCTGGATGTTGAGGATTTGGCAAGTCTTGCATCCAAGGCAGGACGTCTAGAGTCTTTGTTCAGAGAGGAAGATCAGCATAACAGGCGTAATAGAGGCCAACATATGGCGAGTATGGGAACAGAAACATGCGACTCTGATTTTAATCAGTCAGAAGAGATGGCAGCCGAAATCCTTTCTGGAAAACCGTATGTATGTCCTAAATTGAAGCCAGTACCAGGATCTGAAGGAAAGGAGCAACCGACCTTTGATAGTTCGAAAGCTGATGAAATCTTTGATATCCTACTGACTGATGGGCAGATCCGTATTCCAAAGGGCCAAAGACTTGCCACTAAAGAAGAAATCAAAGGGAGACCATATTGTAAGTGGCATAATTCTTTCACACACACTACAAGTCAGTGTACTCATTTTAGGAAGGAAATTCAAAAGGCCATCAAGACAGGTCGGCTCAAATACATCACTCTAGGTGTAGACCAGCAACCGTTTCCGAATGTAACAACGGCAATGGTTGACATCCAACCAAGTTCGGAAACAAGGAAAAGTTCGGCCAACGATGGACAAAAAGGGGAACGAAACCAGCCAAGCCCCGAAACAAAAAAAGGAAGTCGGCCAAACAGCAGCCGACCGGAAGAACGACTCAAAATTTGTGAGAAGCCAGTTGCTGAAAAGTGGGACCATCCAGATGGTTCTTTTAATGTGGAGGTGAAAGAAAAGGTTTTGATACGTGATCACCCGACCAGAAAAACAGGGTCGGTCGGGAGCAATTGGGCTCGAAATAAAAAGCCTTTACCAGTTGATATAGACCCTCGTTTCCCGGGTATGAATCGTACACAGATTCGCAATGCCAAACGCAGGTATGCTGCAAAATATGGGAAAAGAGGTCCTTCAGCAAAACAACTAACCGACGAACAAAAAGCAGCCGACCACTTGGCAGGAGATCAGTCCATTCGGATCTTTACAGAACAAACGACCAACGAGCAGGGAGTAACCATTCAGTCTCCAGTTGGTCGGTCCAGTCGGGTCTGGTCAAGAAAGCAACCGAATGACGGATTAGGCGCTTCCGACCATACCAAAAGAAGTTCGTCGGGACTGGGGAAAGGTAAAGGTGTGGCAGATGAAATAATTAAAGGTTTTAGATGCCAACATTGTGAACGAATCAACATCAATCCATCTCTTGAAGAATTCCGTATCGAATCTTTGACGGTTCAATCTCGATCTCGGGATAAGACAAAGGAAGAAGTGGTACCTACAGAGGAAAATTCAAGATCTGTTAAATCTCGTCTGGGACCACGAATCCCTTGTCGAATGACAGAGATTAACCAGATGAGTGATGAACCGACGTGGGCGAGTCTGGTAGATGATACTATGGACGAACCTTTATGGGCATTCTTGGCAGATGACGAATTAGAGGAAACAGAGTGGGCAAAGATTACAGATTCTGAGCCTCAGTCGGAAGCACCTTCAATTGTGTTTCCTCCTATTCCAGAGGGTGCGAACTCCCATTTGAAACCTCTGTATGTTAATGCTCACATTTGTGGGAAACCAATCACAAAGGTTTTCGTGGATAATGGAGCAGTCTTTAATGTTATGCCATTGAAGACTCTCAAGAAGCTAGGGAAAGGAATTCATGATCTGTCCCCTGTGGAATTCGAAATGACAAGTTTTACAGGGCAGCCGACCAAGCCTGAAGGTATGATGGTTGCCACAATTGAGGTCGGACCAAAGAAAATTTCCACTGTTTTCTTTATTGTGGACGCAGATACTACATACTCTCTTTTGCTGGGACGAGATTGGATTCATGCCTCTCAATGTGTGCCATCAACCTTGCACCAACAGTTAATGTTCTGGGAAGGAAATCAGGTCTTTAAAATGGAAGCGAATGACAACCCATTCGACGTAACAGAACAAGTGGAAGAGTCAGTGTTTTATTCTAGTCATTTGGCTCCGATGTCTCAGTTGTATATGGCCAGGGAATACCCAAACAAGGGTTATAAAGTCACTGGCCAGAACTCGATGTTCTATTAAAAGAACACCTTTATTGTATGGCTCATGATAAAGCCACACCCATTTCCGTATAAGTTGTTTGTTATGGAAGATACAACTTTAGAAGTATGTAGTTCTCTTATTAATAAGTTCTATTTAAAACAGTTATTACATAAAGTAGAAAATAATAAAGAGATTCTGGATGTTCACCTCCAAGAAGATGAACAATTTCGTTGGCCCGACTTATTAGAAAAAACAGAACCAACAGCTTCATCACAAGACCCGTTATTGGAGTTTAATTTAGGAACCGAATTGGTTCCAAAAGTGATCAGGTTAAGTGGTTATTTGTCTAAAGAGCAACAAACAATGATGCTTGAAGTTATTAGAAACAACATTGATTGTTTAGCGTGGGATTATTCAGAGATGCCTGGTTTGACAAGAAGTCTAATAGAGCATTGATTGCCCATCAAAGAAGGTTGTAAACCTTACAAACAACCTCCAAGGCGAATGAGTCCAGATCTGATGCCTCAAATCAAGGAAGAAATCCAAAAACTTCTCAAAGTGGGTTTCATTCAACCTTGCCGTTATGCGGAGTGGCTGGCTAATATTGTGCCAGTGGTCAAGAAAAATGGTAAGATAAGGATATGCATCGACTTCAGGGATTTGAATCTAGCTACCCCTAAGGACGAATATGTGATGCCTATGGCCGACATGCTGATAGATGCAGCAGCAGGGCATAAAATCCTTAGTCTGATGGATGGTTATGCAGGTTATAACCAAATATTCTTGGCAGAAGAAGATATTCCTAAGACAGCATTCAGATGCCCAGGAGCTTTGGGTATTTATGAATGGACAGTCATGCCATTCGGGTTAAAGAATGCAGGGGCAACTTACCAAAGAGCCATGAATTCAATCTTTCATGATTTAATTGGCAGATCTATGGAAGTGTATATTGATGATGTTATAGTTAAATCTGCCAGTTTTGACGAACATTTGAGAGATCTTGAAGAGGCATTTGAAAGAATGAAGAAGTACAAGTTGAAGATGAATCCAACCAAATGTGTTTTTGGAATATCAGCCGGGAGCTTTCTAGGATTCTTAGTTCATGAGAGAGGAATTGAAATTGATGCCAATAAGGCTAAAGCCATTCTTGATAGTCGGCCACCCAAGACGGTTAAAGAAATCCAAAGTCTGTTGGGTAAGGTGAATTATTTGAGGCGTTTCATTTCTAATGCTGCTGGCAAGGTCAGACCCATTACTAAATTGTTGAAAGCTGGA